TTCTTTCTGCTCCAGACATTTACCGACTTGAAAGTCTAAGCCCAGTGAGCCTTTTGGGTACCCAAGTGGGCTCTGAGTGGGTTTCTTTTAGGAATCGTCTGCTGCCCACAGCCCCTCCTGAGGCCAGGTGCTTCCCATACACCTGGCACGGGTACCATAGACACCTACCCTAGGACTGTGGGCTCCAAATCCACCCTGGCTGTGTCTGCACAATGTTGCTTTCTGCTCACCAGATGAAGAAGATAACTTATTCGCACCTCCCAAGCTAACTGATGAAGACTTCTTACCTTTCGGCTCTCGGGGCGGCCTGTTCAGTGGTGGGCAGGGCCTCTTTGACGATGAGGATGAGGTGAGTCGGTGTGCAGCGCTGCCGGCTATGGCTGAGTTCACAGGGGAAATCTGCCTTTGCTCTTAGTGGAAGAGGTGGTTTTCTCTGGGAGTTACCTCAACATCAGATCTGGGGGGCGTCAGACTCACCCATGGGGGATACACTGTCTCCTGGGCTCATTTGTTAGGGCGAAGAGGATGTGTTATCAGTAAGTGATTCACTTACCTCAGTGGTGGTTTCTTACCTTACTGTCTTCTTTCATCCTTGTATTTAATTCCTGGACAGCCCCAAATTAGTTACTCTGTCTCCATCATCTTAACTTTGCAGCTGATTTTCTGGCAGAACAACGAATATGGAGCTTCAAGTTTGATAGGGTCCTTGAGACCCTGCAGTGTGGGTGCATTTCCCCTCCTGTGTTCATTTCTTTCTATCTGTTTCACCCAGAGTGACCTCTTCAGGGAGGACGCCCAGGACTGGCACACCCCAACCCCCGTGAATGACGGTAAGCTCCCCTTTTTGGTGTGAGAGACCTCCATTCCCTTCCCATTAGGAAGTGGAAGCCCCAAAGGGTTCCCAAGCTAAAGGCTGTGGTGTTTGCTTTGGACCAGTTGTAGACAGTTTGTTTTCCTGTGTTAGGTTTCTGTTCTCTCGATCCAGTGGCAGAGCACCTGAGATAACTTACAAGGACAACAGGGTTGTTTGGGCTCATAGTTTCAGAGGCTGTCAGCCGTGGACACTTGACACCATTGCCTTGTCCTGGGCTGCACAGCCCACTGTGAGGGAAGGGTGGGTGGGTGCGGCTGCTCCCCTTTTGGCAGCCAGGAAGTAAGAGAGAAGGGGAAAGGTCAAATCCCAGTGTCCGCTCAAGGGCACCCCTAGTGGCCTAACTTCCTCCTAAAGCAGTGATGGCGAACCTATGGCATGTGTACTACAGCCAACTGTTTTATCATTGAAAGCTCTAAAAGATTTCACCGTAATTGTCCTAAAAAGTTCAGCACCTACCGGTAGTGACACGGGCTGGGAACAGAGCCTTCAGCACATGGACCTATGGGGGATATTCCAGAGACATGCAGCACTTCACTAACTTGGCTCTTGGTAAAAACAGTACCGTCTGTAAACTCCTTCAAAAATTCATAA